ATTGAAGGTGACAATGTCTGCCTTTGAAGGTTAGCACAGCCGTATTTTATTCACATCTTTTGTACGTATTTTGTTCACAGCGAGTTGCGATAAATTTTGATTATAATGAAAATATTTGCAGCTTGTTGCGGTCAAGTTGCACTGGACTTGCAGTTAATCGTGGTAGTCTACCCTAAATTCTCTAAAACAGTATTTTTGCTCTAGTTTAATAACAATTTAATCAATTATCATAAAATTTGGCACAAAGCAAGATCTAATTAGTATACAAATTTTGAGACTACATATGGTCAACTGCACTTAATAGTTTCCATGGCAACAACACAAAACTACGGTATATACATGGATTTACGGAAACAATATCTCCAGAAGGAAAAGAGATATCAAGTACAAATTTTGTATGGTTAGTTCTTATGTCCCAATGTATGGGTTAAGTAGACATAATTTTATTTGACCAAATAGTTATGTCCGAAAGCTGAAAAAACACTGTTTCCATGGTAACTAACCCAAAACCGCCTATTTTAAAAAACTGTCTACTTAATCCATAAAGGGCCATAAGATACACCTACAGTCCAAAAATGAAGGCAAAACATTAAATCCTCTTCATTTTAGACTTTCCACAAAGTTAATCAGAGATATATCTTTCGTTTTGAGAAAACGGAGTTTAAGATGAAGTAATGTTTTGTAGCAAGTCATGACCATGTCCGGTACACAAACTCCACAAGATTATTATATGTGTTATCAATAATATGTAACAATACACATATGCTAAATATAACTTCCTACCTTCCTCAAAACTGCTATAAATTAGATAGTTTTCTACCAAACCCAGTGTCATTTCCGTCGCTTCTTTGCGACCACTTCAAAAGTTGGCATAACAAATTTAATTTGAATGTTTTGCTGTTCCTTTTTCTTTTTTGGTGCTCTTTTTCTCTTCTTGGACTCAGGATTTTCAATAGGCTTTGCACTTAGACCAAATCCACCTGGTTGGTACGACTTCTTGTCTGCTTTATCTTTCTTCGCAGAACGGAGTTTTTGCCTTTTCTTCCGATACTTCTCGCTCACTTTTTTCGCCGCATTCTTCAGTCTTACATCATCTTGCCTTCTGAGTGCTTTCATTGTGTGGACACCAGGGGTAACACCACATAGATCCAAGGCCACTGCTTTGCTTGCAGCACCAGTGTTGAATGCAGCAATTGTTTCACATGCTGCTATGCGAACTCTTCTGGCCCCGCAAAACTTTGTTTTTGCACACTTAGACCACAGCACCCCATTCGCAGCTTCATTTTGATTCTGGGTGATGCCTTTTAAACATCTAATAAGGAGGTCATCTTTTGACAGTCTGGTAAATATTGGATCCAGTTCATCCATAAAAACCTCTGACAACCGATTATCCTCATTGTACAAATTTGTGCCATCGTTTTTGTCCTTCCAATACTTGCACCACGTATCTCCAGATTTGGGACAGTACTCGTGTTGCTTTTCTAATGAAATGTTTTCATTCTTCACCATATGGTGTTGAATTGCCTTGATGCTTTTCTTCATGCCTTCCAAATCTCCTTTATTTCCCCGAATAGCTTTGCCGTAATAGTTCTGCATTTTATCAATAACCTTGTCTGTCAATCGTTCCCTTCCTCCAACACCTTTACCATCTGAAAGTTTTTTTCCCTTTCTATCATTCTTATACTTTCTCAATGCTGTTCCAAGTCTCTTTTGTACGTGTCCCACACATTCTTCTTTTTTAACTTCATAAGTAGACCCAAATTTCTTCTCCAATGCTTCTTTCACCCGTCCAAAACTACTGCTGTCTCCATCACCAACAAAAGTTGTGTATTTCAACTTTCTTGTTTCAATACTTCTAGAGAAGATGTCAACTGCAGACACAGCTTCCATCTCCTCAGATGATCCATCATGGTTTACTTCACAGTTCTGTTCATGAGCCTTCTTCCATTCTTTGTATTCATCGCTTTCTGGATTCCAACTATTATGAGCTTTGCATTCATGACAGAAAAGCGACTTCACTTCATAGTCTAGAATTTCACCCGTATCAACCGAAATAACAAACACAACTCCTATTTTGGATGAGTGTCCCCTTTTCTGCCAAGTACCGTCAACTGTCACAGAAACACAAGCGATCTCCTCATCACCTTCCATCTCAATGTCATCCGGCCGTTCAATTGAAACCTTCTTCCATAACCGCTTGGCCGCATCATTCATTACCTCTTCCGCATTGTTCTTGGTAGCCTTTTCAATTTGAATGAGATGCTTTTTATATGCCTCTTTAGCCACAGGTGGAGGTAAGTTCATAATGGCACAAAATTGTGAGAGTCCAGCATGCCCGAGTTGACCTGATGCCAAAGCTGCTCTCCGGTTGACTTCATGCGACCCACCACCCTTTCCATCAAGTCGTTTGCTGGTTGTCAGTGGAGTGACCGCTTCACAAGCTGTACATTTCAAAAACAGAGACTCTGACAAACCTTCTCTCTCACTGTTCTTCTGGTAAAGACTAAGCTTGGATGTAGTTTTACGGCAGGAACTGCATATGGCTGCAGTAGAAATACAATCATTCAAAAGAATGGCATCTTGTAGTTTGAATCCCTTCGCCATTTCAACATCAGGTGTCGATCTTAATCCAACCTTCCTAGCTTGTTCGCGTGTCAAAACTCCACTTTTAGCTTCAAAATTTTCAAAGGAACTGTTCAACAGCTTCTTAGTTGAAATATTTTCGACAGCAGGGGTTGAAATTGGCAAAGGATTGTCGCTCAAAACAGCCGAACTGTTGGCATTTCCGTCCATACTTGCTGGGTCATTTCTGATCTCGTTCACTTTCTCCTGCGGTCGTACACCATAAAAACCCCTTCTTTTTCTTTTTTTAACAGATCCTTTCTTTCTCCTGTCCTCCCTCACCATATTTGTGTAATAAAATAATATAAATACGCTTTATAAAGCTCTCGATTGAAAGAGATTTGTATGAAAACCAGTGTCGCTTGTGTTGCTTCAAAAACAGCCTCGTAATACTTCATGTAAACAAACGCGTATGATTCATAGTTTTAGCCTGCAATCAGGCCTGATTAAAAAGGAGGGAGGCCTTGTTGTTCAGCGAAGCTTGCAGTAAAAAATAATGTATTTGGGGGACAGAAACTCCATAGCAACAAAAATAAACAAACTATTGAAAACGGTTACTATGCAACATTTTATGACATCCTTCTAGGAAAAGGCATATATTGCGAAAACTCTAACAAATAGCAGGAAAACAAGTTAAGGGGGTCAAAATACAATAACTAACGATGCCAGGAAAGGCAAAATTATTTTTTTTAAATCTTTCTACTTTTGATAAAAATTTAGGGTAGACTACCACCTAGGTGGCTCCCTACAGTTACTACAGTTTAAATACGATTTATATAGATCAGACTTCATCCTCGCGACCTGCGCGTCGAATCGTCGTGTTTACTGTTCGGCAAAAATATTGAAACAAGCCGCGGGAAGTTTTTTGGCGTTTTTATCTACAAAGAAAGCTCCAGTTTTTCATTATAATCCTAATTTTTTTCTGAATTCGAACAGTACGTATGTTATTAGCTAGTTTAATCAATCGTTTAGTGTGTTTTTACGTATTTACGTTCAATTTTGTCTTTCATATTGCTCAAAATTTTCAACTTGTTGTGTTGCGAATTGTCAAACTGAAATGATGTCTTCTATAACTCTTGAACAGTAGTGAACTGTCGCCGAAACTTATGTAAGTTCTGTCAATCAATTCAATTCAATTCACAGGTATCGTTTTATCTGCTAAATCAAATAAAACAGTTATGAGTTGTTTTATATGAAAAGTTAAACTTGTAGTTCGATATTTTGAAAAGTTTTCACACCGATTTTAACAACAAAAACAAATGTAAACTAACACTGGATTTAATACAATGCGTGTAATAGTGTTTTTTATTAGTATTTTCAATATTAATATTTTATTTTCATGTCAAACAAGTCAGAAATATCTGTTTTCGAATGTATTGTAAGCCAAAAAGTTGAACTCACTATAAATCACAAGCTACAATTTACACGCATGCGCAGATCGTGCTCCTGTCGAGTCGATTTTTTTTCATGCTGGCCACGCCGATTTTAGCGATGATTTTCTCGTGTTTTCTTCGGTGAAATTTTTTTAAACTTTGTATTTTTGTTATACAAGACGAGTGGTACAACATATCCAAATTTTAAGAAATTCTACAAATAACTTTTTCTGTAACCGTCATTCACGAAGATCTCGAAAACTTATTTGTAAATTCCCTTCAAATTTTGATATGTTTTTCCTTTATGGACCATAAATCTTCAAAAAAAATTTCAGAAACATTCTCCGAAGGAAAATATAGATATTGTCAATTTATTGTGAAATTAGGCAATAAAAGTGCAAAAGATTAAACATCATGGTTGCCATAGCAACATGAACACTGTTTTAATTTGTTCATAAATGGACAGCACACAGCTTCTGAACTTTCCTGGAAATTATCATATTGCCTTGTCTTAAATGTATCTACTATAAATTCGGTTCAAAGCGAACTTTACTCAAAATACCTAGAATTTTAGAGAACTGTAGGGAGCCACCTTAACATCGCAGTGAAAATTGCAAGTGTAAACAGGCCTTTAGCGATTAATAATACAAACCTAGTGATAACTCATGTTTACTTTCAAAATGATAATATTACAATAAGCCATCCGCTTGTATGTAGCTAGAGCCCCAAGATTTTCAATGTCTCTGGGCAACAGGTTGTCAAGACCTCAACATCTTTATAGGCAGATGGCTTGAATTATGGTGTGTTATATTAATCACTTACTGACCGAGAGCAAGGGCAGTACTGGATAGAGGGGGGGGGGGGAGGGGGGGGCAAGGGTATTTTCGTGACTCGTGATTAGCAATTATTCGTGTTTCGTGATTCGTGATTTAATGAAATCAGTACCATTCCGTGAATCGTTATTAATATGCGTGCCGTGAATCGTGAAGAGATAAAAGGCTAGCTATAGTCTTGAATTTACAAATATTAGTTACCCTAACTTGTGAATGTTTACGTTTAAAACTCGGCCCAAATGTAATATTATGGGGAAAAATTTATAAATTTGCTTCCCGCGGTTGTCTTAGTTCTTGAGGTTTCTTCGTTTCATCGGTAAACGTCGTTATCGTATGCCTTCGTACCTCTTCGTAAACTTCGTGAACCATCGTACGATGCTCGTAATGCCTCGCAATGATTTCCATTGTCCTTTAACCGGCTCTAATGTTAAAGTCAGTATGTGTTAAATGGTTTCAGACTTTGTTACGCATCTGTGTTTCTAAAAATCGTGAAAATGAAATTTTGTTTTTCGTGACTCGTGAAATCGAAAAATGATCTTCGTGATTTCGTGACGAGACCCCCCTTGCCCCCCACCACCCACCGCCCTCCTGAAAAATATCCAACCGAGGTGTTGCTGTATTGACCGAGCGATAGGGAGGTCAATACAGCAAGATCGAGGTTGGAAATTTTCCCGTACTGCCCGAACGGTTGAGGTCAGTAAGTTTTTTTATTATATGCATGGCATTGTACGTTTGTAAAAAATGGAGATGAAAAAGTCACGCGAGGGCAAAGCACAAAATCCGAAACATTTGAAGAAAAAAAACAATTGTAAAAAACGATCTTTGGTTAGTAAAACTGCTCTACAGTACTTTTTGTATAGAATACAGAATACTAACACAGTTTGGATAGTATTTCAAGAATAATAAGAGTAATTTCGTCATCTAAGAAGATTGTGTATCTTCTGAGGTTTGTGAAGATGCATAATTTCAAACCGTTTAATTTTTTTATAATATTATATTATATTATATTATATATTATATTATATATTATATTATATTTAACAGTTATTCTACGAACTCGAGTCGAATATGAGCTGATAGCCGATGAGGCGCGTAGCGCCGAATCGGCTATCGCTCATATTCGACGAGAGTGAGTGGAATAACTGTTTTATTATATACACAAGGTCTGAATTCACAGACTTTGCTTTTCGAATATTTTCAATATTTTTCTATTTTGTTTATGTTTTTATCTTCGCTCTTTCGGCCGATTATTTTTTCAAAAATATATATTTTTAACCATTTTAAATATTAAAAATTTATTTGCTAACCTGAAAACAATTTGTGGGAGTTTTTTCATTGTGTTTTTAATCCTGTGAAGGCTATAAAAAGCGACAATCTGCCTTTTTCTCGTTTGCAAAACATCGTAAATTCAGTTTGGCCGCCATTTTGTTTTTCTCTACTAGCAGGATATGAGCAAATATCCTGCTAGTAGAGAACCAATCAGATTGCAGAATACCTCATATCCAGACCTTGTGTATATAATAAATTATATTATATATTATATTATATATTATATATGTATATTGTATATTGTATTGTATATTGTATTGTATATTGTATATTGTATATTGTATATTGTATATTGTATATTGTATATTGTCTATTGTATATTGTATATTGTATATTGTTGTATTGTGTATTGTGTATTGTGTATTGTGTATTGTGTATTGTGTATTGTGTATTGTGTATTGTGTATTGTGTATTATTATATTGTGTATTGTGTATTATTATATTGTGTATTGTGTATTATTATATTGTGTATTGTGTATTATTATATTGTGTATTATTATATTGTATATTTGTGTATTATTATATTGTGTATTATTATATTGTGTATTATTATATTGTGTATTATTATATTGTGTATTATTATATTGTGTATTATTAGTATTGTGTATTATTATATTGTGTATTGTGTATTGTTATTGTGTATTGTGTATTGTGTATTATTATATTGTGTATTGTGTATTACTATATTGTGTATTGTGTATTATTATATTGTGATTATATTGTGATTATATTGTGTATTGTGTATTGTTATATTGTGTATTGTGTATTGTTGTATTGTGTATTGTGTATTATTATATTGTGTATTATTATTGTATATTATTATATTGTATATTATATTGTGTATTGTGTATTGTGTATTGTGTATTGTGTATTGTGTATTATTATATTGTGTATTATACTATTATATTATATTGTATATTATTATATTGTGTAGTATTGTGTATTGTATATTATTGTATTGTGTATTGTGGTTTTGTGTATTGTGTATTGTGTATTGTGTATTGTGTATTGTGTATTGTGTATTGTGTATTGTGTATTGTGTATTGTGTATTGTGTATTGTGTATTGTGTATTGTGTATTGTGTATTGTGTATTGTGTATTGTGTATTGTGTATTGTGTAT